AGCGCTTCGGGTCCTTGATTTGGACCCATTTGGGCTCGGATTGAGTTGAATTTGGTGTCGTTAGGTTTGTATTTCCGAGACGCCCAGTTTGACTATAAGTTTGCCGAAATTGAAGTTCAGGTGATCTCGAATTTAATTTTTGCAATTTCTGGGTTGATTTTTGCTTCAAGATTCGTGCCCAATCAAGATAATTTTTTGATAACATATCAAAAACAATTAATATATATGATCCCCAAACAGAGTATTAATCATTATTTATAATAATCTCTGAGTTGTCATTGTTTGTGTTAGCAATGTTAAGGTGATGATAATTTATGATTAAATTTGAGAAGTTATTAATTTATTTTTTATAATTATGCAACTAAAATATTATTGATTGAATAATTTACAATTTCAAATTTGCGAGAACTAAGGGTACAAATATTTTAATCATAGTCTCCCATGAAAATTTAATCATGAAAATTTTTATAGGTAAAATGAAATAATACACATATTTCAAAAAATCATAATTTTGTAAAAACTATTATTTGTTTGGGTTTAATTATTAATTACCACTGTATTTCATGTTCACTTATCAAAATCTCTTTAACAAAATAAATAAATAAATCCACACTAATATTTATTTATATCCATTTTATTAGTGGTCTAATTAAGGCTTCGTTTGGGACGGCTTTTTTACTGCTTTCTAAAATGAAGTTTTAGTACAACATTTTTTATTTTTGTACTAAAACTCCGTTTTAGAAAGCAGTAAATAAGGCTTCGTTTGGGACGGCTTTTTTACTGCTTTCTAAAATGGAGTTTTAGTACAACATTTTTTATTTTTGTACTAAAACTCCGTTTTAGAAAGCAATAAAAAAGCCGTCCCAAATGAAGCCTAAATGTATTTTTTCTATATTTGAAAAAAAAAAATCACTGTAAGAAAAAATCTTAAATTGTTAACTTGAAATATTAGTTATTTACAATTTTCTTACTGTTTCATTTTTAATCCGTAATTACAAATCCATTTAACTATTGATATCTTACTATTTTTAAAAAATTGTGATTAAAAGTTGCTTTTTACAGTTAAAATTGTTGATGTATGTTAGCTCTAAGAAAACAATGTTTGATTAAAAAAAGTACTTATAATATTTATAACAAATTTAAGCTTCGTTTGGGACAACTTTTCTGCAACTTTCTAAAATGACTTTGTAGTACAAAAATTTCTAATTCACAAAATTTTGGTATTTAAAAGCTGTTTTAGAAAGCAGCAAAAAAGCTATCTCAAACAAAGCTTAAAAAAAATTACTTTCCTTACAACAACTTGACAACCATCTATTTATAATATTGCAGTCATTCCAAATAGACTGTAAGCATCTAATTCACATGTCCATAAGTTTCTCTCTTAAATCTTTAAATCAAGATAAGAATTTCTTAATTATAATCAATTAATCATAAATAATAACAAAATGTAATGATGTAATTTAAAGCCTTAATCATGTATCTAAACAATATATGACTTAATAATTCCAACTCATATTTTTCATCAAGTGTTTGGATTATTGCTTATAGCTAGTTTTTACATATGAATTATTATTTTATTTGGGACAATTAAACTCTTGACAGCACTAGAAAAGCAGCGATCAAAAGCTATTCCAAACAAACTCTAGATGTTTTTAGCATTGTTTATAAGCATCTAATTCACATGTCCATAAGTTTCTCTCTTAAATCTTTTAATCAAGATAAGAGAATTCGAATATCTTATTTATAATCAATTAATCATAAACAAGAACAACTATTAATGATGTAATTTAAAGCCTTAATTAATTATGTATTTAAACAATATATGACTTAATAATTCCAACTAATATTTTTCATCAAGTGTTTGGATTATTGCTTATAACTATTTTTAAAAGATGAATTATTATTTTATTTGCGACAGCTTTCTTGTAACGTTTTGAAGCAATATTTTAGTTAAAAAAAACTCTTGAAAGCACTAGAAATGCAGCGATCAAAAGCTATTCCAAACAAACTCTAGATGTTTTTAGCATTGTTTCATTAATTATAAGAAGCGATAATTGTTAAGCTTCATGAGAACTCAAATTTATTGTAATATCTCCATTTGTCTAAAAAAAATCAAATCAATATCTTTTTGACCATTTTAAGCTAAACTCGCACTTTCACCACATGTCAATGTACCATTACACTTACAAATGCCCTTTTTATTTTTACCAAATTATTTCATAGGTCATACATTTCTTGATGATCTAACATTATGAATTTGTGAAAAGCATTTATTGTTTCTATCACACTTTTTTTTCATATAAATATTTTTCATATGTAATTATCATTTTTTCTTTTAATTATAATACCCAGTGAAATAATATTAAATAACCTTATTAATTTAATTCGACTAGAAAATCATAGTTGGTACTGAAATGGTGAAAAATTGTCATTTATTTTAGTTATTTTGTTGAATAAGATTACCATTTTATGTGTTTTATGTTATTCAATAAAGATTTGGCAATTTTCTTAAATTTGACTTTGATCATCTTTTTAATTACTAAAGTAACATTTTCTAAATAGTTTTGTTGCATCTCAGAATATTCGTGGTGGTAGAGAGTGATATAGTTTAGGTTTTAGCTTTGTACGAGAATATGGTTATAGTATTTATAAGAGACACCATAATTTTTACATGAAAATCTCTGAAAAGGAGAAAAATCATGAGGCCTAACTGAGTTTGAATGAATCCACTAGTGTTGACAATTGATCACAAATGAGGTCCTTCCTTAGGAGGAAAGTTTTGAGTCGATGTAGCAAATATACATCATATAGAGTGCGTTGTATAGTGTTGACAATCAGTGTTGCTATGTTCGTTTGAACGGTAGGAACATAGTCGGCGAGCTAGCGATGTAGGTTGGTAGGATCGTAGTCGGGTTGGCAGTGGTTGGAAGGACCGTAGTCGGGCAACGGAGATCGAAAAGGCCGGTGGTAAGAATGATCAAAGTTTGTTATTTTCTTAAATTTGACTTTTATCATCTTTTTAATTACTAAAGTAACATATTTCTAAATAGTTTATTCATATTTACCAAGTTAAGTAAGAGCATGTTTGTTGAAATCCTCTTCGAGCGGTGTTCCAGCTTAATAATTCTTATGCTCGGTTCGTTAAAATTAGGGGTATTAATTTCGAGTTACGGGTCGGGTTCGGTTCAAACTCGAAACTGACCCGGCACTATTCAGGTCAACCCTAACTCGACCTATTTTTTTGCATACGGGTCGATTTTCTAGACCCGAACCCGACCCCCGACCCGACCCGCTTCGGCAGCGACAACAGGAGCCGGGCAGCGGCGTTCGCAGCGAACGCGATGGCGAGATGGCACGGCCGTGCGACAGACGAGGCGATGCGACATGAATGCGATGGCGTGGCAGACGAGGCTCGATGCACACGGGTAGGCTACGCGCCTATGCGGGCAGGCGGGGGCAGACGGGGCAGGCGGGCAAGCGATTTTTTTCGGGTCATTTCGGGTCGATCCCGGGTTTTCAGGTCAACCCGAACCCTACCCGATTTTGCAAACGGGTCAATTCTTCAAACCCGAACCCGACCCGCATTAGGTTGGGGTCAACCCAAAATTTGCGGTTCGGTTCGGGTTTTTAGGTCAGGCCAATATTGACAGGTCTAGTTAAAATCATGATTGCTTGAGGTTAGTTTGAGCTCGGCTTATTAGCTCACGAAACAAGTTTTATTGAACCAATCATCAATTAACACTAATTGTGTCATATGTGCTGGTTATGAAGAAATTATAAATGACACCTCATCTTTTCCTAAAACAATAATTTATAACGAAATATCATCACATATTTGTTGATAGTAACTTGAGAGAATCAAATAAGATTAATTTTTTACGAAGAAAAATAAATCTATATGAGTTTAACGTTTATAAATTTATTAAAAGATGAGTGAAAACAATCACATTTTATATTAAATTCATCTCGATATAAATTTCAGAGTTTTAAAATACATTTTATTAAAAATTTAATTAGAATATTTTTTATTATTTCAAAATTTTGATTAAAATTCATGTAAGGATATTCTATTATAATTTACAAAAATCATTAAGTTTATTTTGAGTTTAATACTATATATGAAGAATTTATAATACAATTTATTTTAACGTTAAATTAATGATTTTCAAATTCCATTATGATAAAATAAATTATATTTGAATGTATTTGATATTATATAGAGTATATGTAGGAGCTGATTCTGCGAGCCAAAAATTTAAGTGTACTGTGTGATTGATTGATATTTATTAAATAACAAATCATCAACATAAATTATAAAGAATTTCTGAAGATGACATGCATGTAATTAACAAGGCGCGTGCAAAAATCGTGGTCAGTTGAGGTGGCTTTGGCCGTCCAAGCGCACTGGCCCGGACACCGTGACCCGACGAGCGTAGGTGTTACGGACCACGATGCATTTTGTGTTCAGAAACGCGGGTTGATTTTTTGGACCTCGAACCCCGACCGCTTCAGGTCATTGTTTTTACTAAATTTTTTTATTTAATTCAATTTTTATTTATAATCTAAATCCAAATTTAATGTAATTTTATGTTCAATCAATTAAACTAAATTCAAGCGTCTAATAGTCAATTGGCAACATAATTTATTATTTTTTTGAAAATAACATTTATTTTATTTCATAGCATCTTTTAAAACTCTCTTAAATTAATAAAAATGAGTTCAAGTCAAAGTTGATTTCGATTTCTGGGTCAACTCGTTACCCTGATCACCGGATTCCAATTGTAATCGGATTTTAGGTTCGCTATCAAATAATGACAACCTATATTTATCTTAATTCTAATAATTTTTATATATAATTTTTTCTATTATAATATAAGTTATATATATTTTTTGAATATTTAAATCAATTAAAATAAACTCACACACACAACACAAACATTAAACTCGAATCTAAATGACTAAAAATATTTTAATTGCTAATAAAAAATCCCAATCAACATTGCAAGATGAGTTTCATATATAAATTAGGATAAATTTTTCTCTAAAACTGTCTATTAGACTATTACTATGAAAAAAAAAAAGACATATTTCCCAAAAAAAAAAAGACAAACTTAACCACAAGTATTGATACTTGTACCTGAATTTACAATTTACACCCTAAAGAAATTGAATTTTATCACTCAGCCACAAGAATCCGGGACGACGGAATCGAACTAATGCCGTGGCGGAGCCACAACTCCAGTCAGAAACCCACGACACGGAACCGCCTACTGACACAGACATGTCCGGTGTCCCAATGCAATTAGATCATCTCCTCTCATCCACTACGCCGCCGGCATCCGCCGCATTGCCGGCGACGTCCGCCGGCGTTGTCCCCTCTCGTCTGCTTCCGCTCCGCAACTTTATAAGACCGTAAAGCTTCCTGATCTCCCTTACCGTCGTATCCTTCCCGAACCCTAACCCCATTCGCCCTGAAGTGCAATCGATTAATTCCGACTCCGACAACCGTCGGCTTCCGGATGAATAGTTCGTGACGAGCGTCTTCTCCGCGTCGTTAAAAGAGGCGGATCGTTGCAGGGCGTTGATAACGGATTTGAGCGCTCGGCTCGGCGATCCTCGATTAGCGATCATGATCTCGCCGATCTCGGCGGGGCTTAGTTTTGCTCCGGTCTGAAACCCTTCTTCCACCTGTGGGTAGAGCTTGTGGTCTTTTAGCCCGAGGTAACTGCTTGCCAGAGTTTTGAAGGCGGTGAAATCGCAGAGGGGAAAATTGATATGGACATCGAGACGACCTGGTCGGGTCACCGCCGAATCGAGCTTGTCCTTGCTGACGCTTGCAGTGAATACCATCACCCGCTCCTCGGTACAGCAGGAAAAGATGCCGTCCATGAAGTTTAGCATCCCGCTGACATCGCCACCGGCGGCGAGGTATCGGTCGAGATCCTCGATTAAGATTATTGACCTCGGGGTCGTATCAAGGAGGAGGGAGCGGAGATCGGCGGAATCGGATACGACGGAGAGGTCGAGGTCGTAGAGATCGTAGCTGAGGAATCGCGCCATGGCGGCGACGAAGCTTGATTTTCCTGTTCCCGGTGGGCCATGGAGGAGGTAGCTTCGCTTCCACACGCGGCCAAGCCGAGTGTAATAGGCCCGCCCCTTTAAAAACGATTCAAGATCGGACTTCACCCTATTCTTGATGTCCTGTTCCATTGCGACGGTCTCCATCGTGGCTGGATGCGTCATCTGAACGGATCTCCACTTCCCGGCGGCGATCGTGTACATCCTAATCTCTTTCCGACGATTCTCGATCTCCTCCGCAGCGTTCTCCACGTACTGAAGATACGGCCGGAGCACGCGGTACCGATCCTGCCGCCGAAGCCGGAGCACAAGGCATCCCCCATCGCCGGCTCCTGGGTGAAAAGTCCAAGAAACCCGAGCCCCGAGAAAAAAATCGTTAATAATCTGTCCAGCAGCGAGCTGAGCCGAGAACTCGTTAGGCCGGACTCCGGAGGAAAACAGATTGGTGTGATCGGAATCCTCGGCGGCAGGAAGCGTGGCAACATAGGCTGCCGCTTTTCTATACAACGGATTCTCCTGCAATCCTTCACCGTATCGCGGGACATTGAAGCTCTGGTACGCTTGGGTTCTTTCCTCTCCCCATCGCCACAATCGACCGAGGAGGTATGACAGGGATTTCAGAGACAACACGAACCGAAGTATCGAAATGATGAAGACAACGGCGACGACCGCGCGAAGGAGGTTCGCCGCCGACGAGGCGATCATTGGATTGGGGAAGTCGGAGAATAGAGAAGATGAGGTAATAGTTTTAGAGATCAAAGCATTTGATTTTCTTTCTTTTATGGTAAGAAATTTATAGTGATTGAAATTTCAGCTTTTTGTTAATGAAGAATGGGGGCGAGAATTCTAAGCTTGGAATGAAAAGTCGGCGTGCCATTTGGACTTTGGGGTTAGGCGATGAATTGGTCCAAATAAATGGGTTTTGTGAAATTAATTGATTTCTTCTTCCCTTTTCATACGAAGAGAAGAACGATAAATAAATAAATAAATAAATAAATATTTGAATAATGCGGTCCATAAATTTGTAAGTTTCATTCGGTGTAATAGTTTTTTCTGATTTGTGAAACTTTGTCATTTATTTTTCGTAGTGGATTTCAAGTTTGATATATTGGGGAATTGTTGGATGAAGATTAGGGGTGCAAATGAGTCGAGTCGAGCTCGAGTTATGAGGTGTTCGAGCTTGACTCGCGAATTAAATACCGAGTTTGAACCCGAGTCGAGCTCGACCTCGGCTCGTCCCACTGAAACGAGCTTGTCAACCTGCTCGATTTGAAGTTTCGAGCTCCAATTTTGTGCCTGAGTTTCGATCCCGCTCCCGAGTTTCAATCCCACATCTGATGCCCAATCTTTCGTTTCCCGCCCGCCAACTCAGCTGCTTGCGATCTTGACGTTCATCTGGCATCCAACCTTTTGTTTTCTCGAGTCCGAGTTCTGACTGTGATACCGACGTTCATGTGGTTCTCGTCTTTCGACATGCAATTTGTCTTCCGCGTGTGATATGTCGTCCCCCGTTGTTTCGCTTTCATCGAGCCGCTCGAGTAAACAAGTCTAGCGGAAGGTTGCTCGAACTCGATAAGGCTATCGAGCTCGAAATCTTGCTCGAGCTCCACTCACGAGCTAGATAAATTGACTCGTCGAGCCTGAGCCGGCTCATGAGTTAGCTTGACTTGGTTGCACCTCTATTCAAGATATTCTAATTATATTTTTTAAATAAATAGCAAAGGAGGCTCACTGATATGGGTGTAAATGAGTAGAATCTAATCGAGTTCTTACTTTATTAAACCTGCATTGTTGACCAGGAGCTTTGCTTGAGCTAAAAATATGAGGACTCAACATGAACTTGAATGCTCGAGTTTAATTCATTAATTTTAGCTGAATTTCTTATTTTGAATAGGGATAAGAAATACTTAATTATGCTAATATAAATATTTGTATGTTAATTGATATTAATTGAGTTTTCGACAAGCTGATAAATAGAGCCGAGTTAAGCTCCAGGTAGAGTTTTTATATTATATGAGGCTCACTGTGTGAGCTCATTAGTCAGTTGAGTTCGAACTGGCTCGTCTCACTTACTTTAGTTTTTGCCAACCCATCATCATAGCTTAATATTTGTAATTAAATTTTAGCTTAATTTCATAATGTCATGAAGTTTTTTTTTTAATAATTATAAATATTTTTTTAATTCAATTATAAATTTTTTAGTGAGTTCGAAAATTTTAAATGATATGATAATATCTTCTGTAAAATAGAAGGGATTATTTTGTACTTGATGTTTTTTTTTTTTAAAATTCTGACTTAAACTAAATTGAGGCAGGCAGATTGAAAACGAATTTAATTAATATAATTATTTTTTTGTGAACATAAAATGATTTAGATTTGGCTATGGATGAATTGTGTGTGGTGCTTGGCCATAGATTAAAGGTTTCTTTTAGTTAATTTTCTTATGAATTCTAATGCAATTTTTTAAAAAAAATTATTAATAATGAATAAAAAAAAATTAAATATAGTGGTAAGCTATATGAATTAAAATAATGTATCATTATATATTAATATATATATATATATATATATAATATATATATATATATTATTTATATATATATATATATAATATATATAATTTAATATTGAATTGTAATGTAGGTGGTAAAGAGGTCTGGGTCAGTGGCTAATTGATGGCGGGTGGACTGTGTGGCTGACGGTGTTGGAATTGTGGCAGTTGGCTGCAGTGGTGGTCGGCCGCAGTTGGCGACGGTGACTGTGGTGGTGGGCAATAGAGGCAGATGGGGGTTGTGGTGGGTGATAGTGGTTGATCACAATGGTTACTGTAAGCGGCGGGCGGTTGTGCAGACGATGATGAGCGACAAGCAAATTAGCCAACCTTGAAATTATTTATACCCCTTTTATTTCAAATCTAACAACTTCTTAATTCAAATTTTATCTCCAAATACATTTGATATCAATTAATGGATATGCCATGCAAATTAGCCGAATTTATTTGGACGATTTACGTCATAAATGTGTTAATATAATATTTTAAATATTATGCATATTAATGTTGGAAAATTTTGAGTAAGGATAATGTCAACTAATTTTTCATCAAATTAGACTTCAAAAATTAATATGCGGCATGACAAATATTCTCAATAACGTGCCAATTTGCAACACGTGATATAAAAATCTAAAAAATACATTGCATCTTAATTATTAATTAATTTTAAATATTTTCACAGCAATAATTTCACATTTCTCTTAATGTTCTTTTTTATGATTGTATAAAATAATAAGAAAGTTATTCTAAAAATGATTTTGTTTAGGACAACTTTTTTATTATTTTTTAAAATAATTTTTTAAATTATAAATTTTTTTATGAAAAATTACTTTAAAAAAATAAAAAATTTATTCCATAGGAAGCCTTCGTACGTAAATATTATAGGAGACATTTAGATAGGGAACTGTGTGGTGATAAGCAACGTCATTTTGTGGTGGACTTTTTTGGAATATAGCCCAAAATGCAATTTTCTAAGTATCAAAGCAATATCATATCCTATCAGAAATGGTGGGTTACTATTTGTTGCTTGCTTCAAATGTGGTGAAAATACATGTAAATAGTTCATATTTTAATTTTTAGGAATTTTTTTGGGGTATTTTGAAAAATTTGCGGCGATAGAGAGATTTAGAGTTTAGCATTATGATTTTGTATAAAATCTAGCGCATAAATAGACAAGAGTAGAGATGCAATATTCATAAGAGAGTCCAATATTTTTTCTTTGAAAACCTTCAAAAAAGAAAAAAAAAACACATCAGGTTTTATCACATTTGAATGAATCAATATAGTGTTTGTAGTTGATTACAAATGATGTCATTCATCGGAGGAGGGTGTTGTTCAATATAGTAAATACATAGTGTACACTACAACATTGAAGATGTTACTAAGAGAGTATTGGTATATTTGTTTATCAATAGATCGTAGTTGGCAGGCTACGGTGGTCGAAGGGACCATATCGGCGCTGAACTGGTTGTAGTGGCCGCAGTTGATGTAAGACGATGGTTGGAGGGACCGTAATCGACCGATGATAGTGATCGAAAAGACAATGCTCAACAGGTGATAGTGGTGAGGGGCCGTAGTCGGTGGATGACGATGGTCGGAAGGATTTGTAGTTGATGGGTGGTTGTGGTCGTATGGAATGTAGTGCGCGGGCAACGGTGGTTGGAAGGATCGTAGTTAGCGGGATGACAGTGGTAGACAAGAGCTCCGATGGTGGCAACAGTAGATGGAGGGAGCAAGATAATTCTTTTGTTTTATAATTGTAGTAATAGGAAATGCACAATTTTTATATAAACATCTTATTAAAAAAAAAAAGAAATTATGGAACTGATCTCATTTTAAATCATTTCTCCATTTGATTTCAATGATATATCTATTCTTATAATGAGAGACGAGCAACAAATGCAACTTCTATCAATGAACTTTATCTAATTATTATCAAACTCTTCATCGTGGAAAATTTTGCAAAATACAACAAAACTTTATCTAAATTATCAAAACACTCTTCCAAATGTACAATATTTATTTATTAATTTCGAAGGACAATCACATAAAAATCAATCAACACCATTAAAATTTTGAAAAGTTTGAAACCACCCGAAAAGTTTATCCTTGTTGGTTGACGGTGATCACGACCAAATAAATGAAGCTGTTCAATTTGGGCCACGCGATGATTGGGCCACCTTGATTTCTGATCGGGTGGGATAGATCCCAGCTGTCAATTATTAAAAAAAAACTTCGGCTGGCCCATTTATTGATCTACTTCTTGTTGGGCCCACCTCTGAACTGGGAACCGTCGAGCTCGTCAAGTTTGGTTGGTTGGAGCCTTAAAGGGCATCCAGTATGATTTATTTTTTAAAAAAGTAAATTAATTATAATTATATTTTAATAATATATTTCAAATATTTTGATTAAAAAAATTAGCTTTTTTAAGCTTCGTTTGGGTATTTTTGCCACTAAATTTTTACAACTTTTAAGAAATTTTTGTACTTAAAAACTACTTTGTTAACCAGTAAGAAAATTATACCGACCAAACAAAATCTAAAGTTTTATTGAGATTGCTTTATAAAATAGCTTTTTAGTACATAATTTTTATTTTAATAAATTTTTTCTGCAAAAAAGGTACTGTACAAAGTCTTATAAAGTTGTCCTAAATAAAGTCTAAGGTTTCGTTTGGGACAACTTTCTTACTGTATTTAATATAGTTTTTTGTACAATTTTTTTTTAGTTATAAATTTTTATACTAAAAAATTATGTTAATAAACAGTATAGAAGCTGTCCCATAGATTCTTTGCTGCTTTCTAAAACAACTTTCTAGTGCAAAAATTTCTTAAATTAAAAATCTTTGTACTAAAAAATAGTTTTATAAATTAGTAAAAAAGTTGTCCCAAACAAAGCCTAAGTTTAAATAACAACAAGCTTGTTTCTAAATAATAAAATATGGCAATAATATTTTGTATTTTAGTTCAATTTGGAACAATTTTCTTACTGTTTTTAAAGTAACTTTTTATTTCTAGTTCAAAAAATATTATACCAAAAAACTATTTCATGTAGTAGTAAAAAAATTATCCCGAACAAAACTTACTCTCACAAATCATTTTTTGAGGTAAGTGTGAATGGTACTATTTAGTGATTTGAAGTTTTGGTACTATATGAGAGAGAAGCTAAGATAACTAATTAAATGATTAAGTTATAAATGATTTTTTATGACCTTATTCAGCGATATTAAAATTTCTTCTAAAATTAGTCAAAGTCTTGAGATGTTTCGATATATCGATGCTCATTCTGAAAAATCATATATTTTATAATTATAATTTAAAATAAAAAATTATTATATGCTAGAATATTTATAATAATAAAGAGATAATACAATATCTTCGTCTTATTTGAAAGTCCAGCGTGGAAAAAAATAAGAGAACACATGAAACACTATAAGCAAAAATTATTTGTTGGGGCTTGGCTCAACTAAAATTGTTCCATTAGATAAGCATCGATACAAAGATTTA